GGGTTGGCGCAAGCCCCTCAGGCACGACGTTCGAACACCTGCGCGAAGCTGCACTGATGCACACGGCGGTCAGCTCACACTTACATGCGCTTGTCAACACGATCCTTCGCGGGAAGCTGCGCACGGAGGTTGGAGGGCTTCTTACCGCATCACGGTTGATAGCCCTCGACAAGCCAGACGGAGGGACCAGGCCAATAGCAATAGGCGAGTGCCTCCTACGACTGGCAGCCAAAGCAGCGCTTACTCAGCTGGCAGAAGCGGCTACGGAATTTTTCTTACCATTACAGTTTGGAGTTGCCGTGCCGGGAGGAGCAGAAGCAGTGATCCACATAGTTAGAACCTTCACCTCGGCCAATCCGGACGCGCTAGTCGTGCAGGCGGATCTAGCTAACGCCTTCAACAGCGTCGATCGCCTCGCCATAGCGACAGCGCTGAAAGGCTCGCAGCTGGAACCGCTACTGCCTTTGGTGATCTTCTCTTACGGCCAGCCGTCTACACTTCACCTGGACGCAGCTTTTAACCACGCGCCCTTGCTCAGTGAGACTGGAGTCCGCCAAGGGGACCCCCTCGGCCCCCTTCTTTTTGCCGCGGCCATGCAACCGGCTCTGAAGGCTGCTGCGGAGGCGCATCCGGATGTCATCTGCCTTGCTTACGCGGACGATGTTACCTTCTTAGGGGACCCGTCGTCGTGTGCGGCCGCTTTTGATCATTTCACGAGCCTCCTGGCAGAAATCGGGCTCAAACACAATCCCGCCAAGTGCGGGGCCTGGTCCAATAGATCGCCGGCGGACTACACCCTGCCCGAGGGGGTTCCACTCAGCAGCGACGGGTTGAAATTGCTGGGCAGTTACACCCCAACAGCCACATCCGCCTTCATTCGTTCCAGCCTGGAAGCGATGGGAGCGCCGCTGGGTTTGATAGAACGAATGGAGCCTCAGCTGGCGGGACTGCTGCTGTCTCGGTGCGTCTCGCGCCGAGTGTCCTACTTGGCCCGCACGACTCCCCTTCCGTCCCTGCCCCAGGTGGAGTGGTCCGAATGGGGGAGGCGACTGCTGGATACCCTGCTCACGGCATGCGGCATAAACCACCCACGGGGGCAGGAGGAAATTTCACGCACATGGGCGCAGGCCTCCCTCCCCGTCTCGCTTGGTGGGCTCGGACTGACAGACCCGTCCGTGGAGGGAAGCTACAGCTTCCTCGCCAGCTACACGCAGGCTCATCTCCTACTGGACGCCCTTGAGGACGAATGCACCGGCCCACTGGAGGCCACTCGAGAGCTGATGCGCGGTCCCTACACTCAAGCCTCCCCCTTGACCGAATGGCTCGCGAAATGCGAGGAGGAGCTCCCACTGCCCGCTCAGGAAGCCCTGCAAGCGGAGAGAACAGCCCCAACCGCAGGGAAGCTACAGCACGGCCTGGCCACGGCTATCCAAGGCCAGCGCTATGCTGTCCAAGTGGAGGAGGTGAGGGGGATGAACCCGAACCCGAAAAATGGTCACACGCAGCGGATGATGTCCCTGTCGGGGTACGGTGCAGGGGATTGGTTAAACGCGGTGCCTCTGCACCGCGCGCTACACCTCGAGGCTCCGCACTACGCCAACGCGCTCCAGTTTCGGCTGGGGCTCCCCTTTGCGGCTCCCGGGGTCTGCAACTGCTCGAAGAAGGTGAAAATCCCAGACAAGCGGCTCCCAAACCACCTGCTACGATGTGGGACAGGGGGGGGGCGCACGAACACACACAATGAACTCAGAGACGAATGCGCGCGGATGGCGCGCGACGCAGGCTTCATGGTGCACATTGAAACAGCCGCTTTCAGCCCAGTGGAGGAGAAGAAGGCGGACCTGGCCCTCCGCTGCCGCCGTACAGGAGCCGTCTACATCTGTGATGTGACGGTGACGGACCCCATCAGCACCCGCGACGAGAATGCAACTAAGGGGCGGGGGTGGGCGGCACGGGAAGCAGCAGATAAGAAGCACGGCCTCTACAGGGACCGCCCAGAGTGGGTGAAGTTCTTCCCGCTCGCGGTTGAGACTTATGGGTGCCCTTGCCCTGAGACAGTGGATTTCCTGAAGCTGCTCGCGGAGACGGCTGCAAGGCGGTTCTTTAACGCCGAGCCAACCTCCTACCAAGCTGCCAAGCTCCTACACCAATATCGGCAGCGGTGGTCGGTGGCGCTTCAAAGGGGGCAGTCGATTGGATACTTAGAGAAGTGCAGCATAGCGGCTGCAGTAGAAAACCCACTGCTGGAGGCGGTGGGTGAGGCACCGTCCCTAGGGGATTGCCTCTCGGTCCTCGATCCTGCACTGGACCTAGCTTAGGGGGGGGGGGGAAGTGATAAGGGAGTAGTAAGAGCCTTTTGAGCACCAGACTCACATTAGCTACCACCTTGCATGCCTGTAAGTCCTATGAAAATCAATGAAAGGGCCATTCGAGGAGGTAGAGCCGAGGCGGGCAGGTCAGGGGGGATGGTTGGGGAGAGGTGGGGGTTGGGATGCGCAGAGAAGAAAGGCAGGTTGGGGAAGGAGAGTGGCTCAACGCTGCTCGGATTCGAAGATCTATGTGCCGCAACCCTCCAAATCATGTATTTTTCGAGAATTCTAAAACAAAATTGATTTTGCTCGGATCTGGAGATCTATGTTATGTGCCACAGCTCTCACCCCACCCTCCAAATCATACTGCTTGCTCGCCTGCTTCCCGCTCACCTCCACTGGCAGGGTCGAGCTTGGGATGGGCGCAGAAGAAGGGCAGAGCCTGGTTGGGGAAGGAGAAGGGCCGTATCGTGTCCACACTGCTCACACGCTCCGCAGCACGTTGGATTGGAGGGTGGTCTTTGAGAAATCTTAAAAACCGCAGCTTGCAACAAGCCGGGGCTCACCTCCAGTGGCGGGGTCGAGCTTGGGGTGCGCGGAGAAGAAGGGCAGAGCGAGGTTGGGGAAGGAGTAGGGGCCGAGCGTGCTCAGCGACTGTGCGTCCAGGAGGAATGGTGGGCCGCCCTCGCACAGAGCTAGCAACTTTCCTGCAAAGTGGATGATGCTGGTGGGAGGATGGGGGAGGAGAGGAAAGCGGGGGAGAGTTACAGCGGGAGTGGGTTCAGGAGGAATGGCGGGCCACTTTCACACAGCGCCAGCAGCCTTCCTGCGAAGTGGATGATGCTGGTGGGAGGATGGGGGAGGAGAGGAAAGCGGGGGAGAGTTACAGCGGGAGTGGGTTCAGGAGGAATGGCGGGCCACCCTCACACAGCGCCAGCAGCTTTCCTGCGAAGTGGATGATGCTGGAGGGGGGGAATGGGGGAGGTGGATGGAGGGTGTGGTGAAAAGGGGGGAGTGGGTGGAGTTGTGGAGGAATGGCGGGCCACCCTCACACAGCGCCAGCAGCCTTCCTGCAAAGTGAATGATGCTGGTGGGGGGAGGTGGGGAGGTGGAAGGTGAGGAAAAGGGGGAGAGTGCGTCCAGGAGGAATGGGGTCGCCCTCGCATAGAGCTAGCAGCCGGCCGGCGACGTGGATGATGCTGGTGGGGTAAAAGGGGGAGCAGAAAAGAGGGGGGGGCGGAGGGGAGGGGGGGGGGGGGGGGTGGTTAGTTTGGGGGGGATGGAATGAAAATGAGGAGAAGTGCGGGGAGAGTGAGCAGGGTGTGGGGTGGGTGTTGAGGAGGATGGGCAGCTGTCTGGCACCCAGAACTAACAACCGGCCAGCAAAGTGGATGATGCTGGTGGGAAGGGGCAAGGAAGGAGAGCGCGTGGGCGGAGTGGTTTAGCGTCTACCCAAAGCTATGGGAGGGTAGGGAGAACTATGGGAGGAACATCGCACCATCTCAACATCTTACCATCTTAACATGTTCCCATCTTATCCCCTCGGCGTCTCACCTGGTGTTGAAGGGGTTAGCTGGCAGCCCAACGTTCTTTAGCGGCCCTCCTGCAGTGGCCTGTGTCCACGCACCCTTCACCCGTATCCCCGTGCCCTTCCCCTTCCCCTCCCTGCTGCCTCTGGTTAGCAGGCACCTCACCTGGTGTTGACGGGGTTAGCAGGCAGCCCAACGTTCTTGAGAGGTCCCCCAGCAGTGGCCTGTGTCCACGCACCCTTCACCCGTATCCCCGTGTCCTCCCCCTTCCCCTCCCCTGCTCCCAACTCTGGTCCGCCCCGCTGCTCCAGGGCTGATGTGCGCACCCACTTGCAGACAAACCTTGCCGTACCAGTTGGGCCGTCTAGATGCAATGCGTAGACCTGGGAAGGTTTGCGAGAGAGATGGGCAGTTGGAGGAGGAGAGATCGTGGGATGGACAGGGAGTGTGTGAGGGAGAAATGCGGATTTGCATGAGAAGAGAGTGTGGGAGTGAACAAAAAGCTGAGGTTCAGCAGTGCTCTCGCATACTTGCCCCCATACACACAACACACAACACACACAACACATGCCATGCGCACAGCACACACTCCACACACCCACCATGCCATCACCGTCGAACCAGTGGCCAAACTTGGTCCCCCCTACTCGAATCTTCACCGGCCCACAGCTGTACAGCACAGCGTGCCCTGCAGCGCCTCTCACAATGCACTGCCTACCCTTCTCTCACACACTCACAGCACACTCACAGCACACTCACGGCACACTCACAGCACAGCACACTCACAGCACACTCACGGCACACTCACAGCACACTCACAGCACACTCACAGCACACTCACGGCACGCTCACAGCACACTCACGGCACACTCACAGCCCACTCACAGCACACTCACAGCACACTCACAGCACACTCACAGCACACTCACAGCACACTCACGGCACACTCACAGCACACTCACAGCACACTCACAGCCCACTCACAGCACACTCACAGTACACTCACAGCACACTCACAGCACACTCACAGCACACTCACGGCACGCTCACAGCACACTCACAACACACTCACAGCACACTCACAGCACACTCACAGCACACTCACAGCACACTCACAGCACACTCACAGCACACTCACAGCACGCTCACAGCCCAAACCCACCATGCCATCGCCGTCGAACCAGTGACCGAACTTGGTCCTGCCCACACGAATCCGCCCCGGCCCACAGCGGTACAGCGTGCCCTGCAGCGCCTCTGGTATCCGCCCGCTCACGTGTGCAGGGTCGGAGGGGGAGAGGGTGTAGTCGTGCTCCCCACACGGCTCCAGTCCCCCCCTCCACGCCTGCTGCTCTATGGCCTGGGTGGTTGGAGAGAGAGGGGAGGGGAAAGGAGAGGAGTGGAGAAGGGAAGGGACGTTGTAAAGTTTGAGTCGACTCAAGAACGCAGTTGTGCGCTCCCTACCCCGCACAAGGCGGATGCTCTAACGGGAGGGATAGGAGGGACACTCCATTCCAGCATTTCCTATAAACTTCTTAAAAACTGGATTATTGTAGCGGGAGCGGGGGAGTGACCTAATCTCGCTGAGAGCGACGGGCCCCCGTATTACACGGGAAATTGACTCGTGGCAACCATGAGATTACGAGACGGCTCGAAACTGCACCAACGCTAGGGATGGTCACCGCATGTTTAATGCGCAGCAGCGCACCTGTTGAGCCCATTCGGGGGGGTTCAGCGGGCCAGAGGACGGCAGCGGAACGCGGATGGGTCGACGGGCACGCCGTGCGGACGGCGGCTGCTGCGCGGGCTTCGTTGCCACCCTTCCGCTCCGTTTCCCGCCGCTGGTTCGCGTGCCGACGCGACCGCTCTTGCCAGTGCGCGCGGCAGCTTGAACGCGAGAATTTGACCGGTTGAGACCGTCTGAACTATTTCTTAAAGCCTGCCGACACGGGAACGGATTGAGGCTGGCTGACCAGCTCAGGCTGACTCCGCGTTTTCCGCTAAGAGCGTCATATTGACGTTTCGGGTGAGGGTACGGAATGGAGCACTGAACACTTGGCTTCACCGAGATCATGCTTTGCTGGCTTCGTAATTCTGCACGAGATATAATCGCCGCGTGCAGCGGAGGGCACGTTACACGAGGCAAAAGGCGGAAGCTTTACTACCATGAATAGCCGATTTGTGGATAGAAAATTACTAGAATGCTGGGAGGAGACAGTAACTGGTTATCTGTGAAGCGGAGCTGGAATGGTGTGGAGTCCGTGAATGCGGGCTTGTGGGAGAATCCCAGGGGTGGACATTGGGAGCTCCGTTTCCCGTTATTGCAGGTCATACCTGAACGACACTTTTTGACACAATGCATATTGAGTCTTTATCCTGTCCACCAAAACATCCCAATCCCAAAATCACCTTTCCCTACAACTCAGTGTACAAATTAAGCTGCATGGAGGATTGCATCATGGTGTAGCGGGGCACAAATCGTTAACGAATGCCCTTGCGGAGGGGAAACCTTTTGGTGAGGGTGGGAGCTGTCCATGTGTCACCAACAACCTGAAATCGTAGTGCTTTCGCTAGTTACCAACCTGGTTCTTTCGTAATAACCTGAAAGCATTCTAAACTGTGGCTGCATGGGCAGCCGTTGGTGGCGAGTGCGTTACGGGTCTGAACGATTTTGCGGCAATCGCCAGATTCCACTCGGGCGTCGCTATCCAGTGAGTTTCGCCACATAGGGCCCTCGAAGTTCTGGCCGCACAGATGTGTCTCTGACATGCCCAAAGTTGCCCGACCTGAAAGTCGGCAAACCCAGCCAGAGCGCAGAAAGGAGTGCTAAGGAGGTTCTGCACCACCACACAACAACTAAAGTCCTTGGATATTTCTGCATTGTAGCTGTAGCGAAATCCCTCAACCCCGGGGAATCGGGAAAGGAGCCTAGGTGTAATTCGGCGTAAAAGAGAGTCACGTCATCATCGTCGGGGTTGGCAAGTAAAGCCGTCCGAACCGCAATCGAACGGCGGTAAAGCAGCTGGCTGAGATCAACGATGTGGAACGATTTTTCAGGTGAATGGGGCAGCGGAAGACGGGGGACGGGGAAGCCAAACGCTAGCTCAGGGTAACAAGCAATAGCAAGCCACGCGCGCAAGCGTAAAGCAGACTCGAAAGTGTGGCTTGGGGAGGGTGGCGACCACGCAATTTCCACGGACAGGGCAGGTCAGGGTAGGGGTAGGTCGGGATAGAGGTGCAGGACACGCCTGTATGGTTCAGTGTGTTCGACGCCTGGTTGGGAAGAATTTCGCGATAAAGGCTCTCGTAGAGGGTCAGCAGCAGGCCCAGCGAAAGAGAGCAACGGAACGTCACCGTTTCGAACGGAAGCTAGATGCGAAGTGATGCCTCCTATAAAAGTTTTACTGACACGCACACTGACTGTGGGAATAGCAGTGCGTTACAGCACCTGTTTCCTCCATCATGGCTCCTGAGCCTCTGTAGTAACGCCGTGTGAAGCTTACTAACTCGGTAAGCTTTGTTACTTGGTGACGACTGTTCGCTTCTATCGGATTGAATGCGAACGCCCGTGAAGCCGGCGACTGTTCAGCTACTACTACCATCATCGGATCGAATGCGAACGCTTGTTAGGAAAGAAATAGGAGTTTAGCGGCGGCCTCAAATCTGACTTTGCAACGCCCTCCTGATGTATGAAGAAGAGATGGCGAGTCCAACGAGGCTGCCAAATCATGGATACGCACCCGGGCCGTGACACCACCACATCCTTCTGGCGAAGAACCACCAGCTCGCGGCACTCCAGAAGCGCGACATCGATGTCCGACATCATGAGTCGTATCGAGGAGACTGCAGAGGTCGAAAGTGGTGGCGGTCCCGTGAAATCCACTATCCCCACGCCTGATCGTCAGCTGCCTAGGCTGCAGCGGTGCTCACCCGCTCGAGAAGGCTATCCCAAAGGGTTCGACTGGCGGCGACTGCATTTCTTGCATCATAGTACGGGCAATCATCGGACAATCTGTCGGCGGTTTTCTTGCCCAGACAATCTCGCGGCCCTTACTTATGAGCGTCATCCGCTGAGTCATGATATTGAAGACGACGTTTACGCGACGAAATATGAGTTTCCGGTGAAGTCGACGTTCGAAAAACTCGCGGATGATGGGCCGACAACTTCCAATGCTTTCGAGAACCGGCCTGCTTCCTCGGGTGGCACTCGCCGCCGTCGAAGCTGGTTGTTCTCTCCCGCGCAAGGGGAGAGAGCGTGTTTGTCCTCCCTTCCCGCCTTGCCGCCTGCTTACCGATCTAAGTTCTGCTCTCGTCATCACACGCGACAGTCTGAACCAAGTCAGGCGCCCAGCAGCAGCCCGTGCAGCTCCTGGAGCAGCAGCAGCAAGAGCTCTCCATCGGTCTCACCGCAGAACAGCTTCATACTTGCTGATAAGGTGACGCCGCGGAAGCTTGATCTGTGCCATCCCAGCCGTCCGTCATCTCCATTCTGCAAGCCGCCCTCCCACCCTCCATCCACGGTTCCTCCAAACCCAGAGAGTATTGGAGTTAAAGGGAGTTCGTCTGATGTCTGTCTTAACGGAGTGGACGTTTCACTACTGCACTTGCTCCTGGCCAGCTTCCTTGGATGCATTGCTATTTTCCCGCCAAAGCACCTCATGGTGCTACCTGTCATATGGAGGAGCTTCGCTGGAGCGAGCCTCATCGTCGTGAGCTTGGCCTCTTTGTTGTTGATCCACTCCAATGGGCAAAGAACAGCTGGTGTTGGCTACATGGCCGAGGAAGATGTTACACAAGAGCCACGTTTCCTGAACATGACCAAATTTACTGAAGTAGAAGAGGTTCAGGCTTCTTCCAAAAATAGAATGAATGCGTCCAGACTTGGCATTCTGGAATGTTGTGGAGGTCTGGATCTGTTTGCACTACCTGTTCTCCTGGCTGTGTTTGGATTCTCCGTAATGGCCAACAGCGACCCAAGTCGAGTGGCCGTGATTCTCCTCCTGGTAGGGCTGTCCATGAAAGGTGGGGTGCTATTATCGAAAGCTGTAGCAGCTTTTAGCACGAGGAAGATAGGCAACAAGCCTGCCTGGTGGCTGTGGGTAGCAAAGGTCTTAAAGGCTAAAGAAGAGTGGGATAAGCTGAAGATGCAGAATTGACTGACGTGTATTTGTCCCTCTGTATGGTAAGCTCACTGAATGCTCGACTTGGTGGCGGTACGGTAACAGTGGAATGCGTAACAATTTGCGCTATCTTGGTGGATGTGATGTCCAGCAATCCAGGAAGGAGTGCACTTGTTGAGCAAGCCCACATTGCTGGAATGGAATCATTTCACAACAAATACCTCTACCTACAACTTCGTGTACATGTTGTGTTGCGCGTATGATTGCTTCGTGGTGTAGCTTTGGTGATTACCGTGGGTAACGAAGGCCTCTGCGGAGAGGATGCTTTCCGCAGGGTGGGCGCTCTGTGTGCGTCACCACACACTCATCCCTTCTTCGTTGACATTTCCCCCTGAACAGTGTCACCCTCTGATGACGTGCTGGTTCGGTTGGCTTGCTAGTACACGTGTATCAGGTTGGAAGGACACGGCGTTTCGATCGCTATTCGCTGAAAAGGGTTTCCTTTTTCGCGTCAGCATGTTCAACGAATCACGTTTGGCACTATCGTCGCACAGCACACCCAAGTTCAGTCGCCAGAAACTGCCGTGCTCAGTTTAGATTGGCGGGCGAACGTGCTAACCAAAAGATAAGCAGGTTTCCGGATAGTTCGGTAATGTAGGTGTGACGAAATTCCTGAACTCGGGGGAATCGAGGAAGGAGCCTGGGTGAAACAGTCACGTCATCATTGTCGAGGGTGGTGCCAAGTAAAGTCGTCCGAATCGCAATCGAACGGTGACGAAGCAGCTAGCTGAGATCGACGATGTGGAGAGATTTTTTTGCGAATGGGACTGCGGAAGACGGAAAGGGGGACGGGGAAAGCCAGACGCGCAGCTGGATGTCCAGCAAATCACAACAGACTGGCTGGCGCTGTTACTGACCTGACGTAAATTTGGGGGAAGGAAAGGCGAGTCAGGCGCGCATCCGTAGCAGACGTGAAGGCGGTGTTCGCCAGCAACTTTGAAAGAGAATGGCATCTTGACGGCATCGGAATGGTGACCGCATCAGGAACCGGGGTCGGAACCCGCCCAAGAGGTCTGGGCGTAATGCCACCCGCGAAACTTCGATTCCCAAAACGGGAAAATTCGCAACCGCATATGGAACCTCCATCCACACCTTCCAGAGGTTCCCCTCTGCCCTGCAAGGCCACAGCCATGCCATCGCCATTCACCTTGGAAAGGTGAATGGCGATGGCATCGCAGGGGGATTGTTTTTGCCAGGGCAGGAAACTGCCACCCCGTTTCCATATGCGGTCTTGCCTTTCGAAATGGGTGAAAATTGGGGGCGTTCGCCACGCCCTCACTTTTCTAAGAGGTTCGGACGGCATGAGAGGCTCAGCAGCATTTTTACGGTCTGACCAGGCTGACGGAGCTCAACGAACCCTAACTGACGGGATCAGGAAGGCGAGACTGACCTTCCTGATCCCGTCGTTATCCCGTCGTTTTTGCGTACAAATGTGTTGGCGAACACCGCCGAAAAGTGTGGCTTGGGGAGGGAGGCGACCACGCAATTTCCACTGACAGGACAGGTCAGGAGAGGTGGGGCAGGGCCGCAGAACACGCTGGTTTGGTTCGGTTGGTTCGACACTTGCTTGGGAAGAGATTTGGAGAAAAGGTTCACGCAGGGGGACGGAAGGGCCAGCTAAAAGGAGCAACAAAACGTCGCCTTTCTCAACAAAGCACTAGCTGTGAAGTGAAGCCTCCTATCTCAGCAGATTTTCGTGACAAGCGCACGACTGTGGCAAGAGCAGTAGATTGCCGTGCCAGCGGGGACTACCAAAGCCGCCATTGTTTCTTGATTCATGTAGCGGATATTTAGCTGCGCTGCACGTATATTTGCAACGCCGTATGAAGATTACCGATTGATTGCGAACGCAGGTATTGGAAGCAATAGCAGTTTCGCGATTGCCTCCAGTCTAGACTTTGCAACGCCCTCCGGATGTGTGAGAAACAGAGGTCGAATCCAACGAGGCCGATGGAGGCGCACGCCACATCCTTCTGGCGAAGATTGATCAGCTCTCGGCACGCCAGAGGTGCGACGATGATGTCCGACGTGAGGCGTGTCGAGGAGACGACTACAGAGGTCGAAAGCAATCCCGTGCAATCCGATGAGCGTCAGCTGCCTAGGCTCCAGCCGTGCTCACCCGCTCAAGAAGTCCATTCCAAAGGCTTACACTGGCGGCGGCTGCATTTCTTGCATCATAGTGGCAGACTGCGTCGAAGGCTTTCTTGCCCAGACGATCTCGCGGCCCTTAATGAGCATCATATCGAGGATGACGTTTCCTCTACGGAAGATGATCCGGTGATGTCCGAAAATCTCGCCGATGGGGCAGCAAGTGGTTTCGATAACCTGTCTGTTTCCTCCATTCGCCGCCGACGGAAGCGGTCATGTCGAAGCTGGTTCTTACCTCGCGCGCGATCAATAACTGATCCCACGTCGCCAGGGGAGCGAGCATGCTCACCGTCCCATTCCGCCTGGCCGCCCACTTGCCCATCGAAGTTCTGCTCTCGTCATCACACGCGACAGTCTGAACCAAGTCAAGCGCTCAGCCCGTGCGGCTCCTGGAGCAATAGCAGCAAAAGCTCTCCCTCCGTCTCACCGCAGAACACCGTCATGTTTGCTGATAACGTGACGCCGCGGACGCTTGATCTGTGCCATCCCAATCGTCCAAGATCTCCACTCTGCAAGGCATCCTCCTACCCTCCAGCGGCGCCTCCTCAAAATCAAGAGATTCTTGGCGTTAACGCGAGCTCGTCTGATATCAGTATTAACGGCGTGGACGTTTCACTACTGCACTTGCTCCTGGCCAGCTTCCTTGGATGCATTGCTATTTTCCCGCCAAAGCACCTCATGGTGCTACCTGTCATATGGAGGAGCTTCATTGGAGCGAGCCTCATCGTAGTGAGCTTGGCTTCTTTTTTGTTGCTCCTCACCAGGGGGCAGCCAGCAGTTGCCGTCAGCAACACGCGCGAGACTAAATGTTCACCACAAGAGCCTCGTTTAGGGGTTCAGAATGATTTTAGAAATGAAGTGGTTGTGTTCGGACTCGGCATGCTGGAATTCTGCGAAGGTCTGGATCTGTTTGCAGTTCCTGTTCTCCTGGCGGTGTTCGGAGTTTCTGTAATGGCCAACAGCGACCCAAGTCGAGTGGCCCTGATCCTCCTCTTATTAGGACTGCTAGTGAAAGCTGGAGGGTTGCTCTTCAAAAGTGCAGCAGCTTTCAGCACAAAGAAGATAGGTACCAAGCCAGCTTGGTGGCTGTGGGTAGCAAAATTCCTAAAAGCTAGGGAAGAGTGGGATAAGTTGAGATTTGCGACTGCTTGATTATTGTTTCTTCCTCTGTACAGTAAGCTCACTATTTCCAGCGTTCAATTTGTTCTATTTTAGCGGAACATCTTAGATCTAGGGTTCAAATCAGCGGAACAGCTTAGATCTATAAGGAGGGGGGAATGATGTGGTGGCCGTAGTAGCAAAACAACAGCTCAGGAGTACGGAGTACGGTGGAGATGGAACATATACAGTAGCGCAGCATCACATTTATGTACCAAACCCTCCAACAAGGGGAACTGAACAAGAACGTCAAATAGCTGATTCCACCTGGGGTATTGCTCAACATGAATTGGCAATAGCCAGCATTGTTCATCCTGCACCAATACTTGCCACATATGACACTAATGTGATCTCCCTTCGCTGCAAAGAACTGACTCCTGGTTTACTGAGAGGGCTTCTACGTCAACTTGCTGAAGCACTAATTAAAATGCTGAGCGGGGAATTCCTTCTGAAACTGGACCCACGCGGAAATGAATATCGGATGAGTTTGCTTCTCTGCTTTCAATGGAATCAACAGACAGCCACAACATCAATCTTCTCACGTGAACTCCCTGCACGAAGAGGTGTGAGCGTAAGAAATGACGACGGATGCGCAAGCAAGAATAAGAAGAGTATCTTGCCTTGAGATTTGTGATTTTTCCGCGACAGATCGTTCCTCTAACTTCAGAAGAATAGCGGACAAGGTTTCCGTGAATATTTCTCTCCACGCTGTGACTAAGTTTCACGTGAAAGGGCCCAGTCCTCGTGTTCGTGCTCTGCACGACCTCTTGAAGTGGCAATAGCCCTGGAGGGAGTCCGTTTTCCTGCAAGAACAGTCCGAAGCTGCATTATTACACTTTCTATGCACAAAATGAGTGATCTCCATGTTTCTGACCTGAAGTGCCTGAGAAGCTAACGTTGCAGCGAGCTCAGAGGCCATACCAAACCCAGCAACGCCTGACATTGCAGCTCTGCAGTCCACTAGTATGTCGTCGAGAACAATAGGCAAGATCGCCTGGTAAGACGCACCAACATATTCTTGAAATATATGCCGGCATTTGGTCCCTTGGGGCTCTGTCAAAACGTCGTTTCCAGGGACATAATCACATGGAAGATCGCGAAGAACATATTCGGCACAGGAGCGAGAAATTCTGGACATGACAGCTCTCGAGAATGCCGATTGTTACTTCTAGAGCGGAACGAGGTCTGCTTCTTTTGACCCTTGGCATGCGTCAAATTCCGTCCGAGGCGCAAATCCACCCTGGTAGGGGGGCGTGAAATTACAGGACACAAGCCACCTGTGGTGGGTTGAAATTGTACAGTTGTTGTGATATCTACGTTTCCAGTTCTGTTCATTCCCCGAAATGGCGATACTGATTGTATCGCGGACATGAAGGATCTTCAAGTGCCCTTATCAGCCGATTTTTCTGTCACTGCCACTCCTTGAATTCCTCCTAACTGGATGGTAGGAAAGAGATCGAGTACTCGGGTTTTTCACGGTTTTGCCACACTTTCCTAAAATGGATTACTAGCAACCGTGGTCATGGGTACACGGTGCGCGCCGATAACTTTTCTTTCCTTGCTGGTGGTTGCGGTAGGAGCTTCAAGCTCCCAGTCTCCCGATGGCAAATCTTCTATAAATTCCGCGACTACCGACCGTTCCGTCATACTCCTGACTCAAGCAGAAGGTGTTCATTCGAATAGACGACTCCTTACTTTCAACCCTCCGCAGCAGCACGAGCGTTTCGAGCATAGATCCCTGAATACCACTAAGAACTGCACTGGCTGTAGCAATGGTGACACGTCAGATACACGTATGTGCGCATCCGTGCATCTTTTGCCGAGAAACACCACGGCAGCAGCTAAATGCGAGTATGTCAGACAGTACTGTACATCAGCAGGCTCCAAGTCTTTAATTAACTACATCGACCTTCACTATTGTATCCTCGGTGCACGCTCCTGGATCTCGCTCCCGCTACTCCTCCTAGGGTTACTCGCGGCTCTTTTTCTACTCGCTGACACAGCTGACCGTTTTTTCTGCCCGACTGTGGAGACAATGTCCTCCATGCTCGGCCTCTCGCCCAGCACAGCTGGCGTGACGCTATTGGCGCTGGGGAACGGAGCGCCTGACGTGTTTTCATCTCTAGCGGCGATCGTTGGGGGAAACCCGAAAGTGGGGCTTGGAGCAGTAGTTAGGTGCGTGTGCTGTGCATCTATGTTAACACATATTACAGAGCTGATGAGGGACCTGGTAAGTCAACTGAATATTATTCGTTTTTTGTAACATACCATCAAGCTGGTTGGGGATAACACGCCGTGGGATGAGATAGCGATAGCACCGGCTTTGTACGCTGAGAGGTTGTTGTGTCAAAGGGGAGGGATGTGGTGTCCAGGCAGTGGGTGTTGCTTTCAGAATCCAAGTTTCAGACTCCAAGTTTCAGAATCCAAGTTTCAGAATTCAAGTATCAGAATCCAAGTTCCAGTCCAAACGAATGCACCACGTCATTCACTACTTCCCCATCCTCCCCGCTTCCAGTGCAGGCGCATTCGTCACGTGTTTCGTGGTGGGCTGTGTGGCAGTTGCAGCTGCACCCTTCCCCGTGCGGCCACGTCCCTTCCTGCGTGACTCGTGCCTCTTTGCAACAGGCGTGCTGCTACTGCTCCTCATATACCTCTCAGGCCACGTGTACCTCTGGCAGGCAGCCGGCCTCGTAGCCTTTTATATCTGCTTCGTGGCCGTGGCTATCGTGTCGAATGTGTGGGAGCCGCCAGACCCAATCCATCCACATGCCCATGGTCATGCACACGGTCATGCCCATTCGCCCATGGAGGATAAAAAAAGCACTGCCATCACACATGACACCCCTGTGACGCGATACAAGAGTCATTTGGTGCAACAGCCGGGAGGTGACACGGATGATGAGCCTCCGCATCAGCATCAGCATCAGCAGCAGAATGTGCAGCATCTCCCCCAGCAGCAGCCATTGCTGCCATTGTTCCGATCCTCATCGCCTCTCGCTCACCACCACCACGGCATTCGCAAGCCACCTCAGCATGTCCTTGTGCATGTCTCTCGATTCTGGCGTCCGGCCCTCTGGACCCTCACCTCCTGGCTTGAAAAGGTGTTTACCTCAACGCAAATTGTAAAATATAGCTGGTTTCCCACATCACAACTTGTAACCCCAGGTCTCAATTGTCTTTCTTCCTCTCCCCCCCACCCCCAACACCCTTCTAATCTCTTACTCTAAAACTGCCTGCTATTTCGCTGTACCCCCAGCACCCCCTCTTCTTTCTCGCCTCCCCCCATACTCCCCTTTCCGTCCCCCCACCCCTCTTTCAGATGTATCCCCTCCTTCCCCCACCCCCTCCCTCCCCGCGTCGGCGCGTCTCTCCCCTTTCCCCACTCCCCTTGCAGCTGCGTGCACGCCTGCACATGCTCTTTCAGATGTATCCCCTCCCTCCCCCAACCCCGCGCCTCTCTCTCCCGTTTTTCCTCCCTATCCAGCTGCGAGCGTGCCTACACGTCGTCTTTGACCCACTGCGCCTTGCCACCATCCCATCCATCGACCCTCCGTGCCTCTCCCCCTCTGTTCTCTTCCCCCCCTACCCTTCCAGCTGCGAGCGTGCCTGCACGCCGTCTTTGACCCGCTGCGCCTGGCCACCATCCCATCCATCGACCCCTCTGCATGGGACATCCGATACGCCACTGCCAACGTCGTCCTCTGCCCTCTCATCGCCATCCACACCACCCGCGCCCTCCTCCCCCCCGACTCCAACCTCCTCTTCTTCCTCCCGCCCCTCGACCCCCCCTCCTCCTTCTCCTCCACCTCCCTCTCCTCCGATTCCTCCTCCGCCTCCCCCGCCTCCTCCCTCTTCTCCTCCTCCTCCACCCTCTCAACCTCCTCTCTCGCAGTCCGTTCATTCGTGCTCATTCAAAGCTCCCTCTGCGCTGCAGCTTACCTCCTCGCCACCCGAGCCTCAAGCCCCATAGGCGCCCCCCGGTCGCTCGTAGTCCCTTTTTCCTTCGCCATGTCTGTCTTTTGGATAGCTCTGACTGCCTCTGAGCTTCTAGGCCTGCTTTCCGCCCTTGGGATTATCCTGCATGTGTCGCCGTCCATCCTTGGGATTACCGTGCTCGCCTGGGGGAACTCTGTGGGCGATCTTGTAGCGGATGTGACTATAGCGAAGGCTGGGCATCCGACAATGGCGATTGCCGGGTGTTTTGCTGGCCCGATGTTTAATCTCATGGTCGGGGTTGGGTCGGCGTTGGCTTTCCGTAGCTGGGACTTGTACCCTGAGCCGTTGGTGTTGTATCACCACCCTAATGTGCTGCTGGCCCTGTGTTTTCTGCTGGGAGGGGTGCTTTCGTCCATTGCCTTTGTGGTGTGGTCTGGGTTTAGGGTAACTAGGACCTGGGGTGTCTGCCTGATTTGTATGTACTTGACGTTTGTGGTTGCTGCTGTTGCAATCGAGTCCTCGTTGCATTGAGCTAAGCTCAAGGTGTTAGTGATCTACTATGAGCATGACAAACATTCATGGCATGGCATCGTCACTCGGTGTGACTGGAAGTACAAGAAGCTAATAGAGCTAATCTGGACAAATCTGGCTGAGAGCTGCTGCTTTTGCACTTATCCAACCCAACCAGGCCACCCTATCCGACACGGCTGGCCCTGCTGCTGCTATCACACACCACCTTGAATACCGGTAACTTCAAGACAACCCTAAGACTCACCAAGCGATACACAGTTGTGAGCGCCTGTGCTGCGAGTGGAGCACTCACTCACACCACGATGGTGAGCGTCCCGTCTTCGTCTGACATGAGGAGCTGACACTCATGCCCATCCTCCTCGCCCTCCCCGTCCCCACCCCCAACCCTGTCTGCTGCTTCTCCTCTCCAACTCCCTTCTGCACGCCCACAAGCTGTATGGTGGTAGGTCTTATAATATTCAGTCTGAGACTGCGTGTGGACACCTCTAGTTGCTGCTTCTTGTTCTTCTGCTAGTTGCACCGTCAGCACGAATGCCACCTGTGGCGTCTCGCCACGTGTCACTGTCACACGAAGGTTCATTCTGACACCTGCTGCTGACGTGTCATGAGTCATGTGACCTTGGGAGATACTATCGCTATGCCTGGATCTGCCTTCCTGACGCAGCCCTACAGCAGGAAAGGCATCTCCAGATTCTGCATATCTCTGCAGCACATCCTGTCGCATGAAGTCTGTATCCCCATCGATTGTCTCAATTAGCTCTGATAGTGCCAACTCGGATTCGCACAGGCTCGCAAGCGGTTGACTAACGGACGTCATTGATCCAGTCCCCGCTGCTGCTCCCAAATTGGAGGGGCGAGGAGCCATGGCCTCATCCGAAACCCGAAAGAGGCTTCGAGCAGAGCGGTTGATGCAGGAAAGACGGCCGGAGGGCGCTACAGACAGCACTGCTTGGCAGGTACCCTCCAGCACCGCGTTCAACCGCTCCTCACGCTCCCACCGCTGCCTCCGCTGCTGTATCCCCGCTACAACCTGCCCCACTGTCTTGGTTAGCGCGTGCAGCTCCGTGACTAGAGCCTTGCTGTAGCCGCCCTCGCGATTGGTCACTGCGAACATGCCGACGAGGCGAGAGCCTGAGAACAGCGGCACGCCAAGGAATGTCGTCATCGGCGGGTGCCCGGGCGGCACTCCCGTCGACCGCGGATCCGACGCCACGTCATTGCTCATAATGACGTCAGCGGTGGTAACCACCTTGCCCATGAGCGTGTTCATGTTGCCAAACACCAATCCCGAGGCCGCGTTGTCCGCGTACCACGCCTACGGCGTCCACGCGAAGTTGGTGATGCTGTGCGTCCGAAGAAACAACGACTCCTCGTCCTCACTGCCGCCACCGCCGCCGCCGCTGCTGCTGTTGCTGTTTTTGCTGGTGATGCTGGGGGCGCGGGGGCGGCGGAGGGCGCTGGAGATGCAGCCAGCGGAGGAGCGAGTGAGGTGCAGCAGCTGCGACAATAGGTAGTGTGCTACCTGATGGCCGTTCGGGGACTGCGAAGGGGGAGGGGGACGTGGGGGGGGAGAGGGAGAGGGGGGGAGGGGGGGAAAAGGTTGGGGGAAGAGGGGGAAGAGGGTGAGAGTCCGCCCGTTCTCCGCGTATCGCAGCACACACCATGTGTTGGGTCCCTGTAGGGGCGTCCAGGCTTGGATCGGTGCGACTCACCATGTCGCGTGCGAAAATGTCGTGCGCAGTAACAATTGTCGACAGTAGCTCGCGGATACAGATCCCCGCGCCCGCTTCCGCCATCCCAGGGAAAGACCCGCCGCTTCCGCCCGCGCCGTGCCCCCCCCGCAGCCCGCTGGGCCCCGAACTCGTTCTCTCCAACGGCGCTTTAGCGGGGCGAGCGGGAAAGGATGCGAGCGGCGACACTGCGTTGACCGCCGCGTTGACCGATCCGTTGACCCCCGCGTTGACCGTTCCGTTGACCGTCGCGGAGAAGGGCGCGTAGGCGGAGAGTAAGCTGGCTTGGAAGGGGCACGCGGAGGGGCCGAGTGTTGGAGATTACGTGTGTTGGAAGCAAGGTGGTGGTGGGGCGTTTGTATGCCCCCAACCCACCGAATGTGTGACTTGTGCTCACCTTCGAGTGAGTTGCAGGTTTGCGTGGGGTTGAGGATTGACTTCGGAAGACCCATTCGATTCGGTGCCACATGGCAGCACCAGGAACATTCGAGACCCAAGGAGAATTCGGATCGGTGAAATTCGAGAGTCGAATTTCACCCTTTCGATGTTACTCGAACATTCGCGAGTGTAGCGGTTCGAGGTTACTTGTGCGATTCGATCTTGTTTGCATGCTATAAATCTGTTTTCTTTGTATTGCATGCTATCATAGTGAAACTCAGAGTTCTTTGTACAAGGTACATTCGAACACAAATTCCAGAGAGCTTCTTTACTTGCATTCAAGAGCACCACCTAGCACGTGAACGCCTATATCTCGGAGAATACTTAGGCGATCGACGTGTTTGACGGCTCGTTGGAAAGCTAAGACAGAGCTCTATCGTTTAGAACAACTCCCAGTTCCTGCAAAGTAGAGGAGAGTCCTCTACAACACCGAGATCCTCCGCTTCCGACGAGGACGACGCGGAAGGATGTCGTCGCGGCGACGACGACGACGGGAAGGAGGTGGCGGAGGACGCGGAAGGCGACCTCGAAGCGAGCGGCGCGGAGAGCGCGGTGGGGCCGCAGAGAGACGAGGAAGCGTGCGACGCGGTGTAGGACGAGTAGGTGGGTAGCGAGAATGACGGAGAGAGCGAAGCAGGCGGCGGCGGCGCCGGGTACGGGTAGTAGGACTCGGATTCAGGCACCTGCGGCTGAGAGTTGCCAGGCGACGCTGAAGCGGGCGACGTTGCATGGCGACGGAAATGTGACGCCGCTTCGGCATCACCGTTTCTTGTTGATGGCGACGTCACGCCAGCATCAACGTTACCGGCTGCGTAACTGTGGTACCCTAATAGACTGTCGTATTGGGTGGTCGACGGCGGAGATCGCGTAGCCGTCGAGCTGCCATGGAAGGGCGGGGAGCTTCGCAAGGACGGCGACAACTCAGCTGCAGGTGACAGTGACGACGACGATGAGCGAGCGTTACCATCGCCTGGCGACGGGTTCATCGCCGGACCATGATGATCCACGGCCGTTGGGGACCATGATGGGACAGATAGTCTGGGAGGAAACGCGGTGCGGTTGGTTTCGGCCTCTTTAATCTCCTCCAGACAATGCAGGAACCTCTGCTGGCCCGACGGCTTGCGGCATTCTGGGTGCGCGCCGCGGTTCGGCGGAGGATTCGGTGGGTGATATTGTAACGGAGGTTTGCACGATAGGGTTACCACGGACGACGGGTTCTTCGCGGGTTTGGTAGCGCCGAAATGCTTGATCACTGGAGGTGAGTCATGGTTGGGCTTCGCTGCGCGCTGCGACATGTCCGCTGCGTTAGGAGGCGACAGGTTATTAAACGACGGCGGAGTTTAAACCGGCGGATCTCTTCGAAAGATGGCGTTTCCAAGCAGGAAGATACACGCCCTGTGGTCTCAACTCAACGGCGAGCCAGGTGTGATATGGACGCGTCTGTGTGGGTGACGCCTGTCGTTCAACTTCTCCTGAAGGATGAGTGTGTGTGGTTCGGGACTCATGAAATCGCGACCTAGGCCCAGACGGGATCGAAGGGAGAAATGCAGGAAGGAGGGGAGGAAGGAAATGCAATGCAGACGACAGCACGAGCGAGCGGGCATTGCAAGGAGAGGAGACAAAGCAGGATGTGAGGTGGATAGGATGAAGCTGTCGACTTGACGCGCCACCAGAAGCAGCCCCTAGCCTGTTGTTGCCTTTCGTTGGCGTTGCTTTCGGCTGTTTCATTTCCAACACAGAAAAGGAGCACGTCACAGCCGCAATGATCGTTGTTGGCGCAATGGCGCGCGGATGGCGGCGAGACAAATGGGGCGAATGTCAATGTGTGTTTGTTTCCTCGAGGTCCCTCACGAATGCGACGCGGAACGTGTGAATTGATGCGATGCGATTTCGGTTATGTTAGAGATGATGTCAGCTAAAGCGTGCCCTGCCCAGGCTCCACTTTCGCTTCCACGTGATATATTGATGACCTTTCTTGCTGAAAGGAGTTAGTGTCTTTTCACGTTATTTTGGTACCGCACATGTTCAGACTGTAGAAATCGGCTCCACGCATATTTTCAATGATTTTTATGAACTGTCGTCTGCACTAAATATGTCAGGGGTTAGATAGGGCAGCTGAAGGAAATGCAATATGTCATCGTGAGGCAGCCAAGTTTTGTCTCGTACTTCAAGAGCTGGATGAGAAGAGATTCTCTCATAACCACATACACCCTGTTTCTCAACTTTCTGACAATCGAGAGCCCGGGCTACAGTGCGAACGTGCGCTTGGATTTTGCGGGCTGGTGCTTGCAGCCGAACCCTAGGTAGGTGGCGGGCAAATGCAGTCCATTTGAAC